CACTCCATTGTAGAAAGCAACTAGGTTGGTCAGGCAGGATCTGCACCTAGTAAAGTCATGCTGAATCACCTCCCTGCGTCTTCTAGGAGGATCTGTTCCATGATCTTCCCAGACACAGAGGTGAGGTTGACAGGTCAGTAGTTCCCAGGGTCCTCCTTTCTAGCCTTTTAAACACAGGAGTTATGTTTCCTTTCTTTCAGTGACTAGGGACTTTATCTGACTTCCATGACTTTTCAAATACTATGGAGAGTGGCTTGGCAAATTTCAGAATGGAAAGATTCAACAAGAGTTCTCAGTACTTAATATATTACAACCCTCCCATTTTCTGTCTTCAGGTAAAAGCTGTGTATAGAACTCTTCTCTTCCCGATATGCACTAAAACCCAGAAGCCAAGCATGGTATTTCATTCTACCAGAACCAAGATGACCTGGAAGACAGTACAAAAAACACATGCTACTCTGGCATCCAGCTCTGCCTCTACAACTCTGTTGCAGACAAAAGGACAAGCTTCCAGCTTCTTCCACTTGATGGCTTAGATAGTGCCATGTTTATGTGTTTGCTAGGAAGGTTGCATGTTTTTTTCTGAAAAGCAGTGGTTTTAAATTCTGTTGTTTTCACACAAGATATATTTTGCATCTCCACCTAAATGCTAAAAGGAGAGCATCTGGAAGGACTAGGCAGAATATTATTTGACATATACAAAGCATCATATATGACCATACTTTATAGTCATACAGCTTAATGATACAAGTTAATACATTTGCTGCGATTAGAAGTGTAAGATGCTGGATTCTCTCACAGTACTTACTCCCTTAATGAATTCTGGCATAGTAATAAATACACTCAAAGGACAAAAAAATTCCAAACAAGTGTAAGTAGTTCTGTATATAGGAAAGAACATGTTTACTTTCTACTTGTCTAATATTGCAGTTAAAAACCTCTGAGTATCAGAATTTTGGCAACCTTTTAAAAACATTTTTCAGAAATATACCATAAAATCAAGACTCAAAAAACTAAACAGACATTTAATTAATTTAGAAGTATTCACATGAGACAGGACAGCCAACATATAATAGATTCCAGGACTAGTACTACAGAGTCTATATAGATGCTGTCCATAAGTGCTAAAAAGGTTTTCTCTGCTTCAAATTATAGCATGGAATTTTTAACATCTAAAAATCCTAATGTCAGAGTCAGACTATCATACTTCTAAGAGAAGCCCTTCCCCCAATATCTACATAATATATATCCTCCCTTGTTATATGTCCTGCATGTCAAGTTACAAACAAGTATTGTGATTGCTAGATGGAAGTGAAATTCTAAATAAATAAATAGTAACACTGAATGAAAACCACTTATGAGTTCCTTCAATGACTAGCTTCAATGCCTTAAGTGTTTTCTTATAAAAAACTGTGAATAGAAATATACATTAGCATTAGTTCCTTGAGGCAGAGATAAGTAAGAATTCCTGCCAAGATTCACTTTATCACATAGAGAAATTAGAGTAAAGAAGCCAATTCTGAATTCTGGTTCCATAGAGAAATTAATATTTACCTTTTGTAACAAATCGTCCTAGCTTTTGTGACTTACTAAAGCTTTAACCCAATAGTCAACGACTGAATCTAACTACCCATTTTCTGTGCTAACAGGAATGGTAGTGTTGCAGAGGAAAAGAATCTATGGTTCATTAAGGTTCCTGTTTAGGTAGCAAAGAAGAAAAACAAAAGAAACATTGGTTCTAAAGGGACCTGAAAAGGAGGCACTGGTCACAACGCAAAAAACCCGAGCTCATAAAGGGTCAGAATATTGTCTACTTCTATCTAGCTTCAACCAAATTTTCACATTACATTTTAAAATCACATATTTCACTTGCAGACCTCCAGAATTTCCACTTATAAGTTAATCTTATATCCATTAGTTACTGCTGTTAAGTTCACCCACATTTTTCCCAGAGACCCCTCTGTTGGCAGATCAACTATTTAGAGGTTCCAGCACCTTTGTTTCACAAATACAACCCCAGGCGTGACTTCAGGTCACATTTACTGGCAGGCTATGCTGCCAAGATGCTTGCCCCAACATGGTGATCTCTTCACATCTGTGACAAGACACTGGCATAAGAACATTACCAAAATACCAGTAAAAAGCTTACATAGTTTCCAGTTAACTTTTATTTTTCCTGACAAACACACACAAGGTAACACCAATGTTCTCGTTTGGATTTTCATATTCCAACCCTCTCACAGGGCAGCCTTCCACCCTACATGTAGCTTCATAGGATTGCTTCCTCTGTTTTCATTTCTCTGGACTCAGCTGTATTAGCGCATTCTTACACAGACGGCTGAGTAGCAACTTTTACAACCTTTGACAAATGCTTTAGTATTTATGTAAATAAGCATTCTAACAAAACTTCCAGCAGAGTCTGCACTTCCATACATGCATCATTTTTCACACAAAAAAGGGAGTTGTGCACATGAAAATGCACATGCATCCAAAATTATAATTCACAATTACAAATGAGTAGAAATTTTAAGTGTTAATGTTGATATATTATATGGGGCTATCTGGAATCCCTGATAATGCAGGCAGGCAATCCTATACCCACGTGCAAGAAATTATCCTATCCCTGCTCGGAAAGGAGGTGTCACTGTGTCCTGTGGCTTATGTTGGGTTGCTGAAGAGATGAGGGTCAAGACTCATTTCAATGAAAATAATTCTCCTCCCAATATCTTCATAAAGCCCTACATGGAAGAACTCCCAGTTTTTGCTCTATGACAGGTAAAGACTGGATCTGGAGTCTTTCATCTGCCATCATGTACCGTTTGGAAACCCACAGAGTGACAAAACTCAGATGACCTTCCTGATTCTCTCACAGGATGCTGTCCAAATCCTTGATCATGATTGGTCATAGTGGACTTGCTCACCCCAAACTGGTCATTGAGCGATGGGAGTCAAAGGTTACAAAATTCCAGTAGCTGAAAGTTATTCTCTCAAGCACAGTAGTAGACAAATCTATTTCACCTAGGTACATGGTTCCATGGAATCACTACATGGTTCTGCTAAACTAGACTTGTCCTCCCACAGCCCAGAATCCCTGGCTAATCAGGGACTATAAACAGTTGCAAATATAAAGACTCACAGAAATTCAATACCCCTGTCTTCTTCCTCAGATGACAAGACATCCAGAAGAGTAAAAATAATTTCTTCTGGAACGTCTTCCCAGACACAAGATTACGTGCTCCATGCTCTCCATATTATGTGTCTTTCTCTTTGATCGATAAATATCTTGAAGGCATCAGGGCTCAGCGGCAGATGCGCCAGAACAAAATAATCAGAAAACAGAAACAAAGCTTGCTTCATGTAAGGACATATGTAATTGTAGGGGCAGCAGCAACATGCTTCCCTCATCCATGTGAGCTACACTGTGGTGTATTACAAAGGGGTCCACTGGGAACTCAAGAGTCCAGAAAACAGAGTGTGCAGTAGCTTCCTTCTGGGTAGTTTTAAAGCACAGGCCTAATGGGGATGCCTATGCCAGGGAACTAGACTAGATCTAATTCAGAGCAAAACCTCTAAAACATGATGAGAGTAGCTACAGCATCCTCAGCAACAACTGCTTTCATCTACTCAACTGCTTCTTTTGCGCTTCACTACTTACTAATGCAGACAAAGCCTAAGAGAGAAAAATAAATAAATAAACCTATATGTGCTCAGAAATACATAAAACCAAAAAATAGCAAATGTAAACCCAAATACAGTTAATTTCACTGTATACAGTAATTATAACTGCACTATACAGGATTTTTTTGCATTCTTGTCGCATGCAAAATCATCTCAAGTTGGGGAATTTTACTTAATTAAATCTGTTCCCAATTACAAAAGCTTTAATTACTGATTTAGGCAATGAGAAACAGGAGAACAGTAAAAAAAAAAACAACCGCACAAAGAAAACATTTTCATCCCTCTTTTCAGGTTTGCTCCAGACTCCTCTCTCTCCTGATCACTCTTCTTGGTTTTGCAATTACGTCACCCTCAGTCCTTTAGGTAAGGTGAGATGGTGTAGGGGAGCAGGGTTAGTGCCTAGTGGCTTCCTCTTTTTCCCTTTACTTGTTTCTTCCTCCTTTTAACTGCTTTAGTGTGGGTCCTCCATTGGCCAGAATTCCCTTGGGGGATTGTACCTGTCTGGCATGGATCCCTCCATGGGTTGCAGTCTCTTCAGAGGTGCACCTCCTACTTTGTTTTCTTCTCTTTCTCCTCACATCTTCTCCTGCTTTTCCCTTCATGCCTACTCCATTACCTTCTCCTTATCTCCATCTGTGCATTGTTTTGTGCTTTCTGTATCACCTTTGTGCCTCCTATATCTTCCTTAGTGCCTCCTCACATACCTCTTCCTGGACCTCCATTTGTGCCTCCTCACATGTTTTCCTCTACATTTCCTGCTCCAGTCTGGTGTCTCCTGTCCCTAGTAGCTACTAAGCTTTCTTATGTATGTTTTCAGAGAGATGCCACAGGCAATCCTGTTTGGTTCCAATGTCAGTTGTGCAGGGAGTTTGTGCTGTCCTTCACGGACCTGGCTGGAAACAGCTGTGCTCTGTACAAGGCCACCCATGTCAGCCCTGTAGGACCCCCTGCTACAAACCCCCTGCCATCTATGCCACATACAATTCTAAAGGTGAATAGAAAAAACAAAAAAACCCACAGGGTAATTTTCTAAAGCTCAGCCATAATGATCTATGGAGTAAATCATACAAATGGCAATGGGCATGGAAAGAAAACATCCCTTGTCAGCAGTACTTGATAAACAAAAATAACTTAGCTTTATGCAATTCATCTCTTCTAAAGAGCTACTTACAGGTGCATTAATAACACTGAGAAAAGCATTCATTTCTGAAGAGCAGATATTAAGACTACATATAGATGTTCTGTTACATATACCAGTCCCAGAATATGAACTTTGGCTGAGAAGACCATACACTTCTGTAAATTAATTAAATTTGACTTACTGTTACGGAATCAAGTTTCTGTTTCACCTTCTGCATTCTCATTGATGTTCTTGCAACACTGACAAACTGATCTGCTGGAGACAGTCCTGAACTTTTTTGTATAGGAGTTTCAGAAAAACTGCTAAAGATCTGTGGCCCTCTTGGTGCAGCTGTTGTAAGTGATGAACTGAGATCTTTTACGAGTTCAGCTTCCTGTTGTGCAACTGCAGAAATAAACAATATTAATGTGTCAGGTGAAGCCTTGCTTTACCATGGGAAAAAGAAATAACTGAATCGTCACTGTCATTTTGCCAGCCGTATCTTCAGTGGAACACCTTCAGAATGTGTACTAATAGTGCTACAGGGAAACCTGAAAATAACAATTTTTCCCCATACCACCCCGCTTCCCCCTAACTTCCTCTTCACAGGTCTCCACTCTGTTATCTTTTGTGTTCAGTAACCTATCACACAGAACCGATATTTTTGTATTGCTTATAAATATTTGTGTTCTCCATGCAGAAATATTAGGGGGGGGAGAGAAAGGAGTTTTCCAAGGCAAATAAGTTATATACCTGGCACTGAATTCAAGTCAGCTATTTTATCAGGTACATATCACATTTTTTCCAGCCTAGTTCAATTGAGCTTACGATACTTGATACTTGTAGTAAAATTTCAAAGTTGCTAGACAAACATATAGGCACAGGAAGCACTCTTAGGAGGTAGCCCGCTCTAGAATAGGCAGACTGCTCTAGGACAGGATACTTTTGATGAAAGTCGTGCTTCCTATCATTTAAACAAATTGACTTTTGCTATTTTTTCCACTGTGGTCTCAAACCAACAAAGGTTAAAATAATTATTCATGAAAGTTTTGTCTAGGATAATTAATAAAACTGTTAGTGTATGTAAAACACTTATGTGAAAACTGTGTCAGTGACTAAGAGTAGTATTACTGTATGATTAGCTCTTTCAACACTAACACAGTTAAGACCATCTTCTGAAAGCAAAGTGTGTGCTTTTAACCAAAACAGGAACAAAAATTTAGTAACAGACAATGTAGAAAAGACCACAACCTATGCAAAACCTTACTATCATCAGTGACTTAGATAAACAGTCAGATGATACAAATAATTACTGGTGTGATATCTGTGTGATCTCTAAATATACATACACACATGCATATATATATATGTATTAAACTACCCTGTTGGCTTTTTAAAGACTCCCTCTCTACTGAAGAGTAAAAAATTTTAAAGAATTCCTTCACCCAAAATATTTTCCACCGCTCTCCAAAATGCAGATATCTTTCTGGGCTGAAGTTTAGCACTGAATATTCATTAAAGTCATTCCACTTTATTTGCCTATAAAAAACAATGAACTCTAGAGACAAATAATCTTAACAGTGAAATCTGAGATGAGTAATCTTGTTAGTTCATGTTATCTAAAAGGCAAATGCAAAAGACATGACAAGCTTTATAAATCTATTTTCATTGCAAACATAATTAGAACCAAAATCTGTGACAGATATGCAAGATTTATTGTATAATTCATATTAATATTATGTACTGTCTAGCTGCAACATGACACCTGAAACTGTCTGTAATTGAAACACTGACACTGCCAAAGCTAATCACAAAAGCACAACATCACAAAAGTCTGCAAAGGACAGTCTGAATCCTATTTCGTGTATAAAAAATTCAAAGCTAGTATTATCTTCAGTACAACATGGGGAATAAATATGCATCTTACCTAATCACACCACAGGTGTAAAACCTGTTTAATAAAACAATGTGTACTGTCCCATATTAATATCTATACAGCTCCTTAACATTAGTTTGTAACATAACCAACAGAAAATAGTGAGATTTGTATTAAGCTGTTAATTAATTTTCAGGACGATAGTATTTTCTGGCTCCATAATCCACCCTGATACTGAAAAGGGGCTTTTAAATATTTATGACATTGTCTATATACGATTAAGTGCTGTAAGAATCACACAGGATGACATACAGTAACACATTTAAAACTAGGGTTGCAAGGGATCTCCGGTGATTGGTTAGGGCAAAGTCCCTGATCAAAGCAAGGTAACCTAAAGCAGGGCGCTCAAGATTATGTCCAGGTGGGTTTTGATTATCATCAAATGACTGTTCTCTTCTTCCTTCAAAAGAAGTACAAATAGTAGGAAATCACTTCTAAAAATAAAATATTAATAGGTGTGTATCAAGAAGTTTGGTACTGTACCTTTATAATCATAAATGTATACAAGTATTGGCTGGTTTTGACCAAAGGCACAAAATGACACCATGTGTTCATGTGGATGAAAGGCAACATCACGAAGCGGAGATGTGAAGCAGAGCTCAGAATATATGGCCACCTGATCTCCTACAGAAATGCAATACTTTTATTAATACCATGGAAACACATTTCATACCACAAAATAATAGATGATGATTAAGCTTGTCTTATGGCAGTACAGTGACTACCATCATAAATATATATTTGTCTATCCATTTCCTTACTGAAAATACTATTTGGCATAAGACAAAAAAATATTCCATGCTGTTAAGGTATTTAGTAAGTCAGAAAAGCTGGTGCATTTGCAACAGCTGCAGGAAACCCCAAAGCATGCATCAGGTTAGCTGAGTTCTCTTGTGATAAGTGAGCTCTGGAAAGGTGGTGTTCCTCAGTGTTTGTTTGTGTTAGCATTTGGCAGACACCTTAATTGATTTCAATTATATCATTCTGACAATTGGAGTGAAAGTTGAGCACAAAATTATGAAAAAATACATAAGATTTGCTCTTCAGCTGATGACATTATGAATATAAGTAGAGTGTGTAAGCAAAAATAAAAACCTAGTAAAGGATACTGCTAACAAAGTTTCTTCCCCTTTTTACTTTTGGGGGTTTTTTTTAAGTTTTCAGATTATGTAGTGCCATAGATTTAAGCTAATATAGTTGGAACTGTGGCAAGAAATTCAAAACAGAACTGTCAGCTGCCAGCTTTAAAGTATTTACTTTTTCCTTTTAAAAAATTATTTAGATTATAGCTGGAGGCAGACCATAATGTCATAAAAACAAAACAAGTGTAGTCTGTTATCCTCTACTATTATTTTTGTTGCTTTTACCTCACTGTACAGTGAAGACCACAAACTCTCTACCTTACATTTGCGTAACACTTTTCCAGAAAGATTCTGACAGCTGTTTTTGAAACTACTTGGTTTGGGGAATAATTAATGAAGAAACCATATATACCAATGGCCCAAAATATTCAGTCTCTGATCATCCTTGGGAAACAGCTGAAGTGTTTCTGAATTGGTTCTCAGCAAAGCAGAAAGACTGATCTGACCTACAACACTTCTGTGCATTCCATTCTAAGACTCTCATTCACATGCGAAGAATTGCAGTACACAAAAAGCTGAACTTAAGGGGCTGTGTTCCTGCTGGATATTACAAATGCCAACTCTGCCTATTAATTTATTCTAGAGAATTAAATTTTAGATATTAATAACAGCTATGTAAAAGGTGGAGCTAAGGCTTCAGGATTTAACAGCATCTTAATAAAATTTTTTTCCTTATCAAAAGTGTAACACTGAAGCTTACAAAACCCTGTCCCACTCAGTCTTGATAACCTGATTTGAGATCATAAAATAATTACTTACCTGTTTCTGGATTCCAAACATAAGCCTTTCCATCTTCACTTCCAGAAAATAGGAATGTACCACATGGTGTTAAGGTGCTGTGAATCTTCTCTCTGTAATTTGTGGCACCGATGTATTTCTTCGTAGCCAAGCTAAAGACAGAGATTGTTTTGCAAATGTAGTGGATACGTTCAAGAACAGAAAAAAAACCTTGCATCCCAAATAGATATGCAGGCACTCCCTTTTTGCAGAGTGCAGTGTTTACCTTTTCCCTGGCATTCATAATGTACCTGAAATTGTAGCTGAAAGTGTACAACCATGTCTTTTGGTAGAAAACGGAAATACTCAGATCTAGAGAGCAGATACAGATGTGGCATTTTGCATTTTCTTGATGTAAATTTTCTTGAAAAAAAAATGGGGCAATTTGCACTAACTACTCCAAGCACTGCCAAAAAAAGTTTTCATTACACTTCCTAGGCTTGATTACATCCCAGCAGTGCTTTTATTTGTCCAGTATCTCTCTCCAGTAGCTTCAGACTAATGTCTCCTTGGTCACAAAACCAGCAGCAGAATAAAAGAAAATTCAGACATGGACGTTGGTTTACTCTTAACATTAACATTATTGTGCTACTTAGGTATCCTAATAATTTTTCATTGAAATGCTGCTAATTATCATAATAATAGTGACCTACTAATTAACTACTGTCAGTTTGTAGGCATCAAGAGAGAATCTGCAAAAGGAGGTAAAGAAACCTAAGCCAGCTTGTAAGATGCTATCTCCAAAACTATGGACAGTTTGGAAAGAGACACTAAGTTCAAAAAGGAGGTAAGAGGAATGGCAAAAGGCCCTGAAAGTTCTCAAAGACAACAGACTGTTATTTTTAAAATGTGTTACTGCAGCAGCAATGGAGGCATGCTGGGAGAAATTAAATGCAGCTGATATGATAGGATATGTATATATATATATATTTTTAACAATATCCTGAATAAATACATCTTAACTATAATTCTATTTGGCAAGCAATAGAAAAAGATGCTTTAGTGATCACAGTGGAAGACCATATTAGCCCAAATAAGAGTTGTAGCCATGTGAATAAGAAAGACAGTACCTTTGGAATGTAGAGAAGAGTTCTGCAAGCTGTAAAACTAACCTCCATATGAAACCCTAAAGAAAAGTCTGAACTAAAACCAAATCCCTGATCACGTACCTGAGTGACAGGACACCAGCATTAACCAAAAAGTTCAAAAAAGCAAGTTCAAAGTTAAGAACAACCAGCTGTCAATCAAAGTGAATTGTGTTGCTTTTTGACCTCCACCCCCTCTTTTCTCATGCAGGGAATGAACAGTTAATGCTGACGTGTACAATTATCAGTGCTGTGTATCTGACCCTGTGGCTTATCGATAGACTTCAGCCAACGTAACTGTGAGCTGTGGCCAAAGCAGCAGTCCTGCTGCTGCCCTCTCCACCCTTATTTTCCCAGGCTCTCCCTCATTTCTCCTCTAGCATTTGGGCAGCTATCAGATGAGTTAGATCAGATAAGTGATTAAAATGAAAATTAACCATTTGTATTTGCAGGCTGATTTTCAGTCGGATCAGTTCACTGATCTGACTTACCCAGCATCAAATGATCTCTAGAGCTGATAAAAAGGAAATGCTAGGAATACATGGCCATAGGTGTGGGACATGAGAGGAGATTGTGTGTCCTACAGATAAACTGGTTCAATAATTGTGAAACTGCACAGCACATTAACTGTTTCTTAAGAGATTAATATCAATGTCCATTTTTCCCTCTCAAACTAAAACTCTCTGTACTTTTTAGAAGTTACAGAAGAACACTCCCTGCTTCAAAAAACTAAAGTTTCCTCTGATAACGCACCAATTTCATGTTTCATTTGAGGGGATAGCTTACTCTGCTAGCATGGTCATTATGATTTATCATTTACAGTAAAATATGAACAGTGTGCTATAAAACTGGAAAGACTTCAGCTATTTCAAACACCCAATCCAGTACTTCCAGGTGAGATTTCCTGAAAGAGTATAGATATGTACAAAGGTATGTTCTAAAAGAATGCAGTTTCTCATCCTATGACAGTATAAAGAGGTATTTCCCCCAGGTTATTTCACGTAGAACACGCAGGACCTTTGTTTTTTTTGCATGGCAAGGTGAAATTAAGGATGAAGCATTTAGAAAGCGCATTCATATTTTATATGTGGCTTTCCAGAATAAAGTGTTCAACTGCATTTTATCAGTGTGTGCAACTGATAGCAGGAAGAGTTCTGTTTCACCCACTGAAAGGACAAGACAGAACAGACACAAATAAAAATACAGGACATTCCATTTAAAATTTTACTCTGAGGGTGAAGGAACACTAGAAAATTTTGCTCATAGAAGCTGTAAACTCTTCATCCTTCAAGGTATTCAAAACCCCAGTGAGAAAAGTCCTGCATAACATGCTCCCATGATTTGATTATTGGGGTTGGACTGAACACTCCAACCTCAACTACTCAAATGATTCTGTGATCCCTTTGGTTTTTATTGTAGTTTGTTATTAAATAATCACAGAATGGTTTGGGTTGGAAGGGACCCTAAAGATCATCTAGTTCCAACACCCTTGCATGGGCAGGAACAGCTCCCACTAGATCAGGTTCACAGCTATTAAAAATGAGAAAATAATAAAAAACTAAGTTAAAAACATCTCATCACCTGCTTTATGTCTTATACAATGTACATTACTGCATATTTCAGTATTTATGATGGTGATCTTTATACCATTTTATCATCAAAATACTAATCCCACAGACTTAGCAATGAGAAACTAACACACAAGTAAATTTTATAATTTCAAAGATATTTTCATGCTCAGATTGCATCTTTAAAAATGAATTCAATCTTTAGAAGATTACTGTCTTCTCCTTCATGCCACCTTAAACTCCCAAGTAATCCAGTAATTTTTGGATACTCTATTCTAAAAGACTTACCCAATATCACAGAAAACATCTGTAACACAGCAGTGTTTTGTAACCATTTCCTAACCCTAATATTGCTATCCTTGATTATTGGGACATCCTTCTGCTCTACAACTATGCATTTGATAGCTTTATGGCACATTATTTCCCCAAGTAAATTTTAAAACAAAAAGGACATATGCAATTGATACAAAAAAAATCTACTTGCATTCTGAGATCCATGATTCTCAGGGTATTGTCTTTGGCATGGATTAATAAACGTCTTCCATTAGGATGCACCTCCAAATGATTTATTGGTATTCCTTTAATATCATTCTCTTTTATTTCCTGCAGAAAGAAGGAAAATAAAGTAAAAAAAAAAAACAACACAAAAACTTTGTGTTTTAAAACTCATGTTTTTACACATCATTATTATTTTTTCTCTTGCATTACTCTTTTTCTGCCTACTTTATTTTATGTGGTTAAGGAAAAAGTTTGTTCCTATATGCAAGCATTACATCCTAAGAAATCAACATCTCACAAGCACAAGGCAGGTTCTACTGTGACTCTGAGATTCTGAAATACCGTTGATGACAAGAAAGCTCACTGAAGATTAGGCCTCCAAGGTATGGACAGAGGTGATTTTTAAAGCCTGCAATCTGTTTTATTGTTGTCTCCAGAGAACATTAGCATTTAACTGTTAATACAATGCTTTTAAATACCAAGCATCTTCACGTTTTATATAAAAAACCTGAAGCTGCCAAACAATTTAAAATAAATAACAAAGAAATAAACTATGTCAGTGAATCATATCACATTCTTTCAGCTCTTCTGTATCATTATTTAAAGAAAACAGCTTGCCAGTTATACAAAATGTAACGTATAAAAAAACTGAAATCAAATTACTAGATTTGGTGTAATTCACATAAAATAACACAATGACACAATGCTAGTTTAAGAAACGTGTATACCTTATTAATCCTCCAGTGTTGAAACAGGTGTTGAGAACTTTCTTTGACAGATGTATCCCAAACTATTATCAGTCCTGCACTATCTCCTGAGAACATGTGGAGCCCTGTGCAATAATAGCAACTTGTAAGTAGAATACCACAAAAAAGAACAAATAAAAAAAGCATGTATGAATATCATACACATTTTTTCTATTACTTTTGTGAATAGGTGAACATCAATTCTTTCCTCTCTTCTGCTACGAAACATTCATTGCAAGTACACCTTCGCTGATACTGCACGGCATAACTTGATATCACAAATTTTGATTCAGCACATAAATCAGGGGTGCTGAATATTCTTTTAAGTTTTTTCATTTTTTCTCATATTCTAGAACCAGCAAAAAATTTATAGCTCAATGAGCTTCACGTGACTATGTATGTTCAGTGAGAGCATCCTGAACAAGAATACTGTTAACCAATAATTGATCTTCAATTAAGCACAAATACTTTTGTTTCAGAATAGAAGCACAACTCTTTCTTCTTTGTAGTACTACTCCAGTGAATACCTCCACAAATGAACCAGAAGTAAAACACTCAGAAGTACCTTATTCATTCACTCATCTTCAACTCTTCCCACCCTCCACTAGTATATGTCAGTACATCTCTCTCACTGGCTTTCAGCTGTTAATCTATCAGTTAACATTATTCACAATGGTGAAATCTGTGTCCTTTTGTCTCAGTTTTTCACATTCTTTTTCAATGTTGAAATGTTCATCACCCTCCCACTTCTTCAGTCTAACATTTAAATTCTCACAATCTAACTACCAGTACCTCAATTTCTTTATCACTGCTTTCAGTTGATAACTTTGAATTACAATATGGTGGAGCTGCCTTTGCTTCTATCGTGGTCATGCCATCTCTTGTTCTGAAGTTCTGTTCTGAGAACTCTCTAGATTTTTCTACTTCTGCTTGTGTTAGTACATAATTCTTCCACCTAGAAGAATTCTAGCCAAACCTGCCTTTTTTCCAGTTTACCTCAGTACAGTGACTGCTACGCTTTCCACCTGTATCCTAATGTATTTGTCTCCTCTGAACAGTAGAATCTGTACTTTATGTTCTGCTAATTTTTGCTGCAATATGTACAAAACATTAGCTGATAATAATACCTATTTATAGGGATACTGAAAACTACACTATGACCAAAATTTGCCTAGTCATAATTGCTGGATCACTACACATTTGTTTGCGTGTTCTTTCCACACTTACCTGTTCTGATTACTCTCAATTTATATCAGGGGCTATGTGTCCCATTGTGTTTGCCCAAATAAGGCACGATACTAAGTTATTAATAGCAAACAAACCTAAAACTATTCTGTTCCAGGATTTTACATTGCCTCTATGAAATAAAGCAACCTAGTAATGCAAATTGGTCTTCAACTAAAGACTAAAAAAGTACGTACCTTCTGCATCAAAACAAAGTGTGTTGATGAAGCTTTTGTGACCATCAAGCTCCTGTAGCAGCTGTCCATAAATTTCTTCCACATTGGCATTCCAGACTCTAATCACAGAGTCGTAACATCCTGTCACAACCAAGGAGTCATCAACTGGGTGGTACTTTGCAGTGTAAACAAATGAAGGATGAGGGAAAACTCTCACTGCAGATGTTGCCTGCATTTCTATTTTCCACATTCTAAAAGGAAAGGACATTAGGATAACTCCTGTATACAGTAATCACATACAGATTAACTGTGTAACTGATGCCATATTTTGTGATGGCAGTTCTGGAGGAAAATGCTGGTAAATACTTAGCACCACCTGTTTATCCTATGAATTTGTTCCATCTATTTTTAATCCTGTAATATGGTAGTTTCTAACAAGAATGAAGATACATTTACTACTTTACATAGTACTCTGTCTTCAAAGTAAATTAATGACTACTTACTCATTTAATGGATATTTTAAAATACAAAAAGAATTCCATGGAATGGATAATTTTCTTCCCTTCAGGAGTTATAAACATATTATTAAGACTTTCTGGGGTATTACTTATTTGCAACAAAAGAAAAAAGTATCAAAAGATGGTAGAGCAAAAATCTCAGAATGAAACATTTAGGACCACTAAATATAAATAAAACCCCAGAAAGTGTTAAAAGAACAATTATCTACCACACAGTGATTGTGATCTCAATAATGTTTTCTTCACATAAATTCAGTTCTTACTATTCATCTGTTTCCTATCCTGTACCACCCGTATCTGTAAGATCAGATTTTTCTTAGGAAGTGTTTTTTGTTTGATGCTACACATTTTATTTGGAAGCCTTCCCCAAAGAGGAGTTCATAAAGACCGGAATGGTACCTGGATCATGAGATACAGGTGGGCAGCACATTTCAGAGAGTGCTCACTTACAGTATGAAATTTAATTGTTTGATTCCCCCTTTCTAGGTGGCGTGACTGCTTCTGGTGGCTACTGAAGAATTTTAAACTCACTCTGAGGTTCACTCATTACAAAATTGTAATCCCTTTGAGTACAGTGATTTACTTGCAACTTAACATGCACAGGTCGAAAGAGTCTACCTATCATTTGGAATGGTCTTGCTCTACGAACTTAAAGGTTAATTTTTTGCTCACAAATAATGTGGGGCTAAAGCTTGGAAAGACTCAAAAGTAGCACATAAAACTATATAAAGAAGGATTCACGCAAGTTTCCAAATTTTTCTTCAAATTCTCTTAGAAATCAGTCTGAGAGATGACCCAGGTAATAAACTGATAATTAATGCAATAGAGTGCCTTTTGGTTCTTATCCTTCCATTCTACCACATTTCAATGGCAAAATATTCCCCATATGAAAGGAAAAAAGAAGAAAATCCTTGCCTAAATGGAGACTTTTTAAAGAACTTAAGGCAACGGACAGTAAATACAGGAACTAACGACTCATGCAGTGACTACGCACAGTACACAGAAAAGAAAGCAGACCACTACAGTTTCAACTTTCTGCCACAAATTCAAGAACTGAGGAACAGTTGAACCTTCTTAGAGGTCACATAAGGATTGACATTGATATTAACTTCAATATAAAAATAATCTTATTTAATCTGCTTTCAAATAAAAAGTAAAAACATGAGATAAACTCTCAAAATACTCTTATGCCTACATACAAGAAGCAAAAAACCCCTCACCAATAACAAAAAAAAGCAACAGTTCCACACATACAAGATATCATTTAACAATTCTTCTGGCGTTTTCATTATGCAACTGCCTGTAGCACTACTGAGTTGCATAACAGAAACAACAGATAGGGATCTGAAAAGCTAAAAGAAAAAAAAGACGGAAAAATTATGAAGCTGCTCATAATAATTTGTGCAGTGTCACAGCCATGTTTTCGTATTTTTCTATAGGTTTGGGGATTTTCCTTTCAAAGCTTGAACATATTAGGATTTTATCATTAATACTGCACTAAAGTACACTTTTTAATTGCAGAGGAAAATGTGTACACATTCAGCCTTAGAAATAACAGCATCAAATTTTATTCACACCCATTTAAGTTGAATTGTTTATCTAAATTGTCAACCCCCTCCCCCCAAACAACCCGCAAAACATATTTAGGCGCAGTGTGGTCATTTTATACACATAATGTGAATCTTATATTTTCAATTTCCTGCCTCATTCAAATTTGCAGACTTAATACAGCATTCATAGTATGGCAATTTCTCCAAGGACAGAGTATTCCCACTGTCTCAGTGACTTCTTGAAATATAAAGCCTTCTGTGTTTTACTGAACTGTAGATTTAGACACTAGAGTTTTTGGAAAAGCTTTGGCCTCGAATACACATACATTAGAAACCAATACAGTAAATACAGCACAAGTTATTGACTGAATCACAGTTTTTGTATAATAGAGTAAGTCATACTGCAGTCAAATCTTCAATTAAATTATTATAGCACAGTTTGTAATAAGACATGAAACTGGACCACTTTCTTTTGTGCTTCTGATACTATCTGCCAGAACATCATCATCATACTGACCTGACAGTGCCATCAGAGGATGCAGTAAGAAGGTATTGATTGTCTTTTGACCAACAAAGATCATATACTATGTTAAAGTGACCATAAAATTCTCTCAGAAACTGTCCAGAAGGAATTTCATACACTACAGAAAAAAAACAACTTTGTGAGTATTTACCATCAATTACACTAAATTATTAGTGCAAAGTTTAGTCTTAGGCTGAGTGTCTGCCAGCATAAATCAACTCATTTTCTTTATCTTTTAATTTTCCAAAACCAAACAGTTGCTCCATACGCATGGACAGCAAGCATATACTTCCATCTAGTGGTTCATGGATGTTACGAATCTCTTAACCCTTAAGAAACAGCATACTCACTTTAAATCATTAGAACCAGATTAGGATTATAGTTTTTTAATTTATTATTATTTTTTAAATTTTGACAGCTACTTGACAAATCTCTGGACTAACACAGAGATTGTTCTCTAGGTCTGTGCAATAAAGGAGTCTAGCCTTACTGTTCCTTGTGTTCAAATATTTACTTGGAATACGCTTAAAATATTGTTGTCTCTCAATCTCAAAATTCTTATGCTGGTCTGAAGAACTATGCAATTGAAGCTGCTGCATAGAAGCAGCCCCAAGTTTGAGTTATAAGCAATATTAGTAGTTCTGACTAATGCAGTCCATGGAAGACAGCAGCCTCCAGTAGTCTGTCTAGATAGAGTATTCCATGTATCTAACTTCCATGACAGGTTAGGAGAAAAACACAAAAAAAACATGTGGCGTGGGGGCTGGAAAAGTTTTTTCACTTAAAACATTATTATCAGAATATATGTTCCTTATGCAAAATGATTAAATGTTTCCATTAGAACTCTGAACAGAAATACTGTGATTTTATACCACTAAATTGTATATACATTACCATGGATATGTGAAGACAGTTCCAGCTCTATTAACACAGAAAGATAATTTCCCTCAATGCTCTTTAATGCACAGAACAACTTACAAAACACAATTATAAAACAAACCTCTGAAAACTCACAATTTAAAAATACATCTTTGGCCCTTTAATTTCAAACAACATGAGTTTTAAGAAAAAAAACAAAACAAACAAAAAACATACATTAAACTTACAAACTATGGGATAGCCATTCCTTCCTGCACATGCTGCTGCCAGTGTCTTCCCATCATGAGAGAAACGAACACAGAAGCAGCCCTGATCTCCACCTCGCAGGGACAACAGCCGCTTGTTAGGTATGCGGCAAGCCTAGCTTTCCAGGGAAGAATTGGGATTACAGTTAGGAACATTAACTTCCCAATGCTTAACATACATTCTTAGTTCCTGTCACGCCTAAGTTTTAAAAAGCTAATAACATCTTAAGGGAATTTAAAAGAAAAATTCCACCTTATCAACAGTGACAGTCCTGCTATACATTCTTTTCTGCCCCATTACTAGAGACAAATAGAAAGTTTTAAAAAAGACAAGAAAATGTAAACTTGAAATAATTTCCTTCATCTTAGGAAGTGCTTAATGATCACTATCATCAATAATATAAGCTATAGACTTAGACTGTAAGTCAAACTTCCTTACGGAGTCTAAGCACTTTTAGTAACTTGATTCCAGTGTGAACTGAGAAGACTAACGACAGGCACTCAAACCTTTGGTCTCTCCCATCACCTTTAGTATTCCTCATCTGGATTTCAAGTCTCGATTTTTTTTTTAAAACACAGCTGGAGATAAAACATTGCAAAAAAATTGCACAGGTATTATAGTCCCCCTTCCTCTCTTCCAAAACATTTTCTCTTTTTCACTCATGGGGTTTTTCTCCAGAACGAAATTAGAAGTTTAAGGGGAATTAAAATATTCAAAGTAGTTACGTGATGATTTAACCGAAACCTGATTCAACTTATGAATGAAAAATAAGTATTAATAGATTCATATACATTTAAAAGCATAACATGAAATAATACACACAGTTAATTTCAGGATAAAGGTAAACTCATACTCTTAGAAACTATATATGCAATTAAGCTTTCTTATGATTTTTAAAATAATCTGTACATGGACTACCATATGAGATCAAAATTAAAATCAACAATATTTGTTAATAAATCTTATGTTCTATTACTGGAATTCTTATAGAACCATGAGCTCAAGCTAACACAATTCTACAGAAAAATATGAACCCACTGCATAGACATACTGTACGTTGTTGCAAAAGAACTCCCTTTACATGATTGCTAATTTCAATCAGCTGCAGCAATGCAGGAGTTAGGATGAAGTCAGCAAGAACCTTCATAAGGTTCTTCAATGAACTCTCCTTCATAATTATGTTATATTGTAAAAATAACTTTAATGGAGGGAATAAAAAAACCCACCAAACAACAAAATAACAAAAGCACACGAGAAAACATTTCCAACCAAGCTGAAATCTGAGAACTGGTTGCCTGTCTTCCTTCCACTATCTGACTAGCCCTATTCCTTCAAATTCCTGGAGAACTCTGGAGGTAAAAATACCTGACTGTTTCGAGAAAAAAAACTGTTAAATCAGCCATATTTGGTAAGAAACTAAGCAGCATCTGGTATTTTTGAGAGTTCCTTATGGTTTGTATTTTGTTTGGTTTTTTAATTTATCTGCTCTAATGGATGACTTGCTTCCTAGTACTTGTTACATAAAAATAAAGTTATAAAAATAAAGTATATAACTATTTTTCTTTAAAAATAGCAAAGAAAAACACTCCACCTGTCCAGGTAATCTTGTCCATTTACATGGCTCCTTTTTCTCCTTTGCAAAGAGTTCACAGGATTTTTTAGATCCCTCTCTCTGGAGCTCACTTGTTGCACTATTTTGTTCCTCCTGATCAGCTATCATAGAGCAGAAAGAAGGAGCAACCTTAAGGCAAACAAAACTAAGTATTAGGAAAAAATATTTTTAATATTAACAGTGTAATATATGAAAATATTAAAAGGTACTTTTAACTTCAAATGCATTGCACTTCTAGATCTGAAAAATAAAGAGATTCTAAAAAGCTTAATACATTAAAATGTCACAGCAAAAATGTCATTTAAAGAAACCAGCAAGTCAGAAGGTAAACTGAGCTTTCAAAGTTGTGTCAATCAGATGGCATTAAAGATTTTTGAAATAATTAATACTTCTTCTTTTTATTAGGTATTTGGGTATGTGAAAACTAGTAATGCTATACTACCTGGTAAAGGCCTACTTCCATGCAAGATGCCCTGCTTTATAAAGGACATCCTTTTTTTACAGCCACCAGGTATGGCAGATACGGGTCCTTCTGGAGAAGGAGGAGACCAGGCAGGATCTGTAACAGATCTTAAATGGAAGCAGAAATCTATGCAGAGAAAACTGTATCATGCCATGGTTCTTATCTGGAGCTCAATCCCAGCCCTAGCAAATCTGGCATTTATCAGACAAGAACAAAATACCATCTGTAGCAAATGGATCCAAGTCAGGTGCAGCTTAGAAAGCCTATGAAAATTCATCACATCACTTAAGCTTCACAAAGAACTGTCAAGTACAGACAGCTGTGAACAAGTGACAGCACCTCAACATACCAGGAAAACTTCAGACCATGGGGAAGACAAGCTTGGAGCACTTGCAGAAGGATGAACCACAGCCACTCAAGCAAAGCACTCAGAATTCCTAACAACATGACTGAGCAAGAGATCTGAAGATGTCATTCCAGTATACAGATTAGAAAAATGTCCCAAAAGCATATGAAATAATCTCACAGATAAGTCTGGTTTCAGACCACATCTCATCAGGACTCCACAGATCACCCTTGGCTGTATCAACAGTGATCAGAAGATTTACGACAATTGTAAATACATATGGAAAACTAGGTAATGGAACAATACTGCACTTGCATTGTGTAACAACAAATGCTCTATTTATCTGGAACACACATCTCAGCACATAACCAATGTAAGCCTCCCTTTTAAGCTGCATTCATTTGAGAAAAAAAAGAAGTCACTATAGGTTGAGAATACAGGGGCTCTGAGTTAAGTAACTCATGTCTTCTCTCACTACAGAATTTACATTCCTGAATGATTCTAGTTAAAATGGCATACCTCCTAATGAAAAGGATATCAATCTTCAAGAAAGTTTTCTGATTGTCAATGGCAAAATATATAAAGTTGCAGATGGGAAATTATGTCTGCTTTTCAAAGATAGCTATGAAGGGCTGAGTTTGGAACATGTATCTTAACATGCAAAGCTCTTACTATAGCTTGTTACATACTAGCTATTTTATATACTGCATGTAAGTACAGCTTTATCATACATGCATACTCACACACTCTAGCTAGTTACTAGTTCTTACAGAAAGGTCTGTATATTTATAAATTTATTTATATATTGTATTCTTAACTTACATGATCTGGCAATTTTATGCCTCTTACGGTGACATACAAAGTTGATGGGTAACGATTTCTAGGACATTTTGCCCACCAGTCATAAACCTCGACAACGTTTGAATGTGACTTGGTCCTTGAGGGTGGGTAATACAACTGCAGACGGAGTTTTCCATCAACATTTAGAACTCCATTTGCACCTACAAGCTGGAAGGGTGATTAAAAATAGGAAAAAAAGTGTTAACACAAAGTAATAAAAGTCACTGATCATTTCTAATATCTTAAACAACTGTAGTATAAACACTGAAATGCCCTTCCCATTGGAGAAATATACTATCCCTAAAAGCAATAATGACCTCAGTATGTATTTATCACTAAGATTAAAGCTTAGATGGTAGTTTAGTTTTGAAAGATACTTCATATGCACATCAATAATATCCTTTAAGTAAGGAGACCTCTGTAGCCTCTGCAATACTGCTTTTTTTTTTTTTTTTTTTTATAACACTTGCTGGAATTAGCCAAATTTCAAAGAACTGTACATCCACAAAGAGCTTCCAAATCTGTCCCATTTGAACACAACAGTAAAGGGTGCTCATAAGGCCTTGACTCAGACCAGAAGATATAGCAAAGCAGTAACTCTTACAACTTCTGAGGAAACTGAGTTCCCTCTATTGAACTAAAGAGTAAGATATTGGTGCTTTCACTACTCATTCTGCATGTACCCACTGCCACTGACCACATTTTATCAGGACATTTCTGCTTTGACGGATACAGATGAAAGATGCAGTAGGAATGAAGAAAAGGTCAAAATTTTATTTGTATTTATGAGCTGGGAATTCATCCTTCACTTTGGTCAGGAGCACACTGTGCTCAGTGACTGGATTCAGAGCTCCCACCAGCTACATGACACAGGACACCATGCCTTGGGAAGAGCTGTATGGAATGATATGGAGGTCCCTCTTCTCTAAACTTGCACTCCATTATTCTCTCCTGTATTTCTCATGCTGTGGACTGCTCAGTGACTATCAAGATCACCATCCAAAGGGGTAGGTGTAAATGAACCATCCTCAGGCAAATTAAAGAATGTAACACCTTATCAACTCTCAAAGGCCAAATTGGCACATTCAGGTGTCTCCTAAAGGGGTAAAAAGGTACATGATGTGCTGGCTAAATAACTTGCACCTCATTGTTGCAGCATTTCAAACCCTGCAGATTTTTTATAATTAGGTCTGGCCAACTGAAAATGCCACTTGAGTGAACAACCACTGAGGTACAGAAAATAGTACATTTGTCACATTCTTTACAGACACAATCTCATGAAGACACAAACCCTGACTGCCTTCTGTAATTTATGAACAAAAACCCACAAACTTACATATTCTATACTTTCTTTATATCTATCTATATTTTTTTTTTTCCCCTACTGTCATACTCGTTACTGTGAATTTTACAGAGTGAAAGAAGAGGGAGGGAACAGCCAACCAAGAAAGGATTTATTTTTCCCGTATCTGTTCCTGAGAATATTAAAAAATGTTTTCCCCATTTAGGAGGGTCTTTTATAAAACTGAACGACAGATTTCTAAACTTCGTTTCTTATCAAATATTTACAATACCTTTAGAAATGCCCAACAAATTTTTCGGAAGCCCCTTTCCAGAACTGGTACATCAGAGCTGGATCTCCTTTCATCCATCCCTCGAAAATCTAGGATCTGAAAGTATTGGTAGGGATATTAAAGTATTTGTAATTAATACATACTTCATGGTAATTAAAAAATAGTGCTGAAAAGATGCTAGATGTGATTCACTAACCTAGGATTTCAGTTGTAAGCTATTACAAAACCAGTACTTCTTCCACACAAGTACACAATTAGAAATAACATCCATATGAGTTTACCTTTGACTGTTCATCACCTGCTTTAAAAAAAACCCATAAGTCTGGTCTTAAAAAACATAATTCTTGCTTCTCTTCTGTCTCAATAAGAACTGAAAATGTGTAATTTTCATAAATCCTATATAGTTCACAAATCTGACAGAAAAAAACAGCTGTATGTTAATCTAGCTAGAAAAGGGCAGTTAAAAAGTTAGTTTTCCTTTCCTAGCTTTATCACTTATGTCACAGAATTGATCATAGAATTGTATGGGTTGGAAAGGACCTCTAAAGATCATCTAGTCCAAGCCCCCTGCCACAGGCAGAGACATCTTTCAATACATCAGGTTGCTCAATGTGCTGTAAACCTGACTTGGAACACTTCCAAAGGTGTCCATGAGAGTCTTCAATTTTTCTAGTCAATGACCAGAATCATCTTATATTAAGCCACACTTAGAGGCTTATACGATATAAAATAAAATAATATTTTTTTTAAAAAAACAACACCTGTAATCATACTGTCTTCAAACTGCTGTTTCATAAACAATGCTGAAGTCAAACAGCATGCTTTCAGTGTAGTCATACTTTTGGTGCCAGTATTAATGTGATTTCCACGTAGAATCTTTATATACAAATGTAATCACTTTTGTGTTAAGCAATTAAGGACCCTGAATTCCATAAATGGTGTTATTTGTAAGTAACACAGAACATAATGAAATATACAGTGATATTCTATATCTAATCTATTTGAAATATAAAAAACAAAGGAATGAGTGAAATACATTTTAAAAAAAGGAATTAAATATATTTATTGTACTAAGTTCCCATTTTCAGGTTAATTCTACAGAATCTGTCTTTATGAATATGGAAATACTTAAGCTCAAAAACAGACAGAATATATACCTTACAATTTTTCCTTTAAATATATTTGTATTTGAGGACAAATTAAAAATTACTTGTGAATAATGGGAGAGGAGAAGTAGATGTCTACAATGTTAATGGAAACCAATTAAATACCTTGCTCAACAGTAAAAGGGAAGTGTTGCTATAAGCATGCAAACTCCCTCTGAGTTTCCAGTGCTTCAATTTCTTTTCAGATTTTAGCAATTACAAGATTATGAGGGACTGAAGCATCTCCTTATTGGGAAAGGCTGCTCCAGAGAAACATGCTTTAGCAGGGGAGTTGGACTAGATGATCTCTAGAGCTCCCTTCTAACCCCCACTGTTTTGTGATTCTGTGAATGTGCAAAAGGAAAAAGCAATAAGCTTTATATGTGGTGCCATCTCTCCTGATCTGGAATTATCTTACCAGCCTTAGAAAAACCTAAGTTTTCTTCTATTGAAAGTAATAGTAGTAGTACCAAACACCAGTAACACTTTTTGCTATCTCTACTTAATTCTGTACCTTAATGCTATGCTATTAGCTCAATATAACCAAAATAAAACACCTGAATCTGTCAAGCATATACTGATAAGGAAAGAAACAGAATCATACAGTGCAGAAACTTGATGTAAAATATTTAACCTTACCTCAAAAAACAGGATTACTTGAGGATCTTCTTCAGTATTTTGAATAAAATAATTAAAACGCTCATTAAATATGACTTGCTCCTCCCACTCTGGAATTGTTGATTTAGTCTGTCTGAAGTCATATGGTTGAGTCATAATAGGAAGAACATGCTCTCTTTGTTCTTGTTCATAAGAAGATGAAACTTTGCTCTTGCTGTTTGAAAATTTCAAAAAAAATACAATTCTTATAGTTCCTTAAAAAACCTAACTCAAACAAAACAGTGTTTTCAATTACTGAAAGCATTCGACATTTGACAGTGACTAAAAGAAAAGCAAAAGACCACTGTAATTTACTCTAGGTAGATATATGCATTATCATAGATGTAGAAACTAATGAATGATGTTGCATGCTTAATGTTCAGCTTTATTTTAGTATCTAATCTTTTAGGGAATCTATGTGCTTATGCTAATCATTGATAATAGGAAAAGTTTATTAAAATCACCCATGATCCTTCTTGACATATAAGCCATTTCTCTGATCAACAACATGTATTTTAACCATGGGATGAGACACCAGGAGATCAGTTTTAAGTCGATCAGATCGATGGATGTAAACTCCCAGCACAAGATCATCATCAAAACCATATTTAGACTGAGTTGAAATTTCTGTATTCCTCATTTCCTCATCATTTTCTGCAGCGACTTTTGTGTTTTCTTCTAGAAATACAAACAAAGTAAATAGTGGTTAACATGCTCCACTAGTGACAATTCAAAAAAGTAAAAATGCACTGTACAGTCTTAGCAATTAATAGTGAAGTAATAATATTTAACGTGTTCTTTATGTAATGAGTTAAAATAAAACTATAAAATATGCATAATTTTAAACATGTATGAGCATTCAAATGAATTTATATTACTATATTTCCATTAACCAACATTTTAAAATAAAATCTCATGTCTTTCTCTTGATTGAGATAGGTTCTTCTGTACCACAGTGACTCCAAATTAACAGTTCAATATCCTGTTCTGGACTACAGCCTTTAACAAAGTTTATTTGCTTGTTTGAAGGAAAATGTAAAAAACAAGGTAAACAGAAAGTGATGTTTTCTCCATGTGCGTTTCCCTTGAATTTACCAAACACTCTTTTCAGAACTTCCACAATTAGGAGTTACAGTGAGATGACCATACTTAACAGGTATCAAAAGACCTACTCCTCATCAATTTCTGTAATCTCCATTTTTTAAACTAATTTCTTATTTTGGCCTCCACAACATTTGAGGAAATGAATTCTCCAATTTGACTATGTGCTGCATGAAAAACTATTCCTTATGTCCAAAATGAGCATCTGGTTAATACAGTGGTGATGCATACTTGTAGCATAAAGTAAATAAAAGTGATAAAGTAAAAGTGACAAATAGAATATGCATTTAAGTAATACACTGTAAAGGTGATATTATAATATTACAGTATGCTTTAAAAACCTCCTTAACTATATTCATTTCAGAACTATTTACAGTAAATGAATTTTCAAGATTTTAGATAGATACACTAAATTAAGTTCCTTACAAATTAGCCACAGAATTGGAAGAACAAAAATAGAATTAAGTAACTAAAAACCAAGTAACTTCAACAGCTCAGTCAATACTGTGTTACTATTATGGACAAATATTTCTGTAGCAATGCACAGAAAAAAAAGAAAAATAAAAACCCTTGGATAAAGCAGCAAAGCAGTACAGCATTTTAACATTTTGTTGGCAGACCTTTTCTGGTTTTCTTTTTAACCTTCTTTGCTTTAGGTTTCTGTTTTTCCATGCTTTCCTCCAGTTTTTGTTCTTCTGCTGTAACTAGTCTTTCCAAAGACTGATTTTCATTGCTATCTTCTTCTGGCTGATGCTGTAGCTCAGAAAGGGACATTGCACTGCAACATAAGGAATTACCATCAGCAGCTGCATTCTACTGCACATGAGGATGCAATTGCTCATTACCATTTCTAATGAACTTGAAATTCCCTCTTCAGCTCTGCAACTCATCATGTTATTATCTTGAAAATACAACATCCCCCCCCAATATTAGTGTCTTGCCTTTTTTATTTCTTTCTCCCCTTCAGCTCCTCCTGATTTCTAGATAATTGCAGAACCATTCCTGTGAATGGAGCTAAGCTAATACTTTTCTGCTGGACCAGGGCCATCACCCCTCACTAGAAAACCATGCAGAAAATAATCTGAAGTTAGTTAAGAGTCAGTTCCATGGAAATAAACATCAGATAGTAACGGAGGTTTTTTAAAAAAGTTAAACAGAATCTGTGAGTTACATGTTAATCTTGGCGGTATTTTGAAAAAGTATTTGGTAATATTTTTTCATAACAGAATCATCAAGTTAGTCACTTAGAAAATATGTACATTTTGTAAGAAAGTTTCTGTCTATCTTAAAAGAAAACAAAACGTTTCACTTAAGATTCAGAGACACACAGTATAGTCTTTTATCACAGTACCTTGTTTCAGCTTCACTTAAAACTGCTCTTTGTTTCTTCTTTTTCTTCTTTTTGCCCACTTCATTGTTCAATACTACTTCATGGCTTTGTACACTGGAAGTAAATTCAGACATCTGTTCTTTAAGTTTCATTTTTATTTTGTTTTTAATTGCAGTTGACTCATCCTCAGCCACATATAGCTGATAAGCTTGAATTAGCTCTTCTTTCTCTTCTAACTCAGTTATGTTTCTCACTTCAGTCAAGGAATTTTTAATCTTTCTATCATCTTCTTGATGAGGTACATCTGTTTGTGATTTTCTTTTTGTTTTCTTCTTTGGAAAATCTTTAATCTGTTCCTCAAAACTCTCCAATTTATGTTCATATAAATTTTCCTCCTCATTAAATTGTTCTTGTACCAGTGATTTCTTTTTCTTCTTGTTAGACTTTGGTTGCTTGATCTTTTCTTCACTAACAATGTCATTGTTTATTTTCTCTGCAAGTGAGGCTTTCTCTCTCAGTTTATTTTTTGTAAATCGAGGACTCTCTTCTTCAGGATTATATGTGTTGTTTATAATTGCTTCATCATTCACACTTTCCTTGGCTAGATCAATATTACTTCTAAAGGTATCAAGCTATAAATGAGAAGAACATAAAACATACTTGTACTAAAAATTATGTTATAAACACAGTATTTTGTTATTTCCTTAGAAACATTACACAAAGTAAAATGAAATAAAAGATCTAGTTATTTTCTTGTTTAAAATTAGCAAGTGACAGATTGAAAGGCAACAGAAAATTCACACTGAAAAAAAAAAGTTTCTGTTTGGGCATTTTTTCCTCAATTAATTTCACTATGTTTTTAAATTACTTCTATCCGGTAAAAAAAAAAACCACAAAAAATCAACAAGTCTACTCCATAAACAAACTTCAAGATTACATGCAGCATGATATCAAGCACTTTCATCCATTTAAAATGCAAATTAGAGAGACTCCAGGCTCAGTTCTTTGTAGTCTCTCTTACTGAAACTTGCTTGCCAAAGTTTGACAATGAAATTATATTAAAATGTGCTAAAATTGAAAAACAGATTTCCATTAAGACTTTTTTAAAGTATAAAATTGAAAAAAACCTGCACATTAGTGCAACTCTTTGTCATTCTACTAAGAATAAAGACCAGTCTAGTAAAAACAGCAAAGATCAATTTCAGCTAATGCATCTGTCTCTGCACTCCTGCCAATTTTTGGTGTTTTTCAGAAAACACATTGTATACTTTCTTCCCTCCTTCAGGTTTCTTTTCATGGATACTGAAAAGTTATAATGTCCCATCTGTAGCAATATTCAAGGTCAGGCTGGGAAGGACTCTGAGCAACCTGATCTAGTCGAAGATGTCCCTGCTTATTACAGGGGGTTTTGACTAGATGACCTTTAAATGTCCCTTCCAATGCAAACTATTCTATGATAACTCCAAACACGACAGGTAACTAAGGCCTAATTCTCTAAGAAGCTTGACACACAGGTCTGTTCCTTAATGGAACTTCTATAAAGTCCCTGAGGTTCATTTACTATATGGCCCTACATAAAACTCTAGCTGATGTCTGAAACTAGAGATAAAGCTTAAACATGCACAACACTGTCCTAATAAAGTATGAGTTTAAAAGAAAATGTCTAGAATTTCATGCAGGTAGGCCTATCTAATACATCAGGAAAACATAAAGCCATTCATGTATCTTTTCAGTAGATACCTCTATTTTTAGCATCCTACAACTAAAAAGATTTTAAATTATCTCAGTATTAAATAATGAAAAAATCTTGTATTTGTACCTTCACCTTTCACTTGCTTAAATTGACCAGTGACATCCTCTTTATTCATAAGTCAGTGACTTAAGAGGATGTGGAAGATTTCATATAAATAACTTGAAAAACTGAATAGACTAAAGGAAATTAAAATACAAAATAAAGCAACAAACTTTGTATAAAGTAGAAAAAAAAAATAATGTTTTTTAATACGTTGTCCACTTCCTTTCCTGCATTTCTATGAACAGAGTACAAGGCATGAAGGTTAAAATACACTGGCAATTAAGACTCAAAAGTGACCAACGGCTAAGGTCATGCTGATTTTTGCCTTTGATAGAACATTAGTCCATTCAGCCCAAGAAGCAGAATTCTGTGAGAAATCCTAAACAAAAAAGCCCTCATCTTTGACTTGTTCAAGAGTTTCTAAAGTAACTGCTATTCAAGAATCATTTCCTCCAAGAAACCTAGCTATTGCAAAACCGGCTTAAAATATTTACTAGAATTTGGTATTTGTTATGCCCACAAAAAAAACATGTGTCATCAATAGTAGCTGCATAGTCATTTAACTACAGCAAATTTACTCATAGGAAAAAAGACACAGAATATCCTCATAATGAAATTAAACACAATTTCAAATTATAGCATATTTCAGGAACATTACTAGATACTGCCTGGCAGCACAACACTGCTTTAGCAGTTCAACTACATTCCCCAGACACAGAGTCTGTATGATCATAACTCAGGCTACTTTTTCCATGTTTTTAAACCATGATATTTAATTTGCACGAAATAAACACAATCATTTCAATGCTGACTTTAGACAGATTAATCTATCTGGGCAACAGTCTGGGCATTGACTGGTCTGAGGCTTTCCTCATTCTAATAACTTATAATAGGAGGTACAACTGGTAAAAAATAAGCATGGTTAGCCCTGGAAGGGATACTAGCAAATTCACTTTCTGACTTGTGTCCCAATTGCTCGTTTTTTCAGCCTTTGCTTCAGGCTTCATACCCACTGCCCCTATGGCTACTGAACAACAAAGCAGACCTCACACTGGCCACAGCTGATGTCCAGCTCCACCCTCATTACAAGCCCCTCATTCTTAACCCTTGCAACTTCAAACTTATCCTGCCCTACTGACATCAGCCTTTCCTCTTACAGTCAGGATGCTTCCTTTCCCTCCAGGCAGGCTCTCCAGGCAATGGGCACACAGAGTAGAGCCAGCAAGGGGACAGCCAGTCTCCTGATCCTCACTTCTGCTGTTCAAAGTCAACAGCAACCTTCTGCAGCTCCAGAACTCGGGTTTCAAGGCAACAATGGACTATGATGGAAAAGGTTTTACTAATCTAAAAAAGCCTATATTCAGTGGAGACAAAAGAAAGAAGCAGACTGGTACATTTCAGGTGTAGATATGCTCTCAACTATGACCTGTTTCTGATTAAACCTGGGAGAGCATTTATGGCAAGTGCATGACACAACAACTGTCACTGATAAATTTCACATTAGTTCAAGATATATGAAACTCTATAATAGTTAAACTATACAAAGTGAAGAAAACTGGTAGAAAAGCAGTTAACCTTCTCCATCTATCTGCTCTTCCCCTCCCACACGTTTATTTCTTACAAAGAAATTCCTGGTTATTTGCTTAAGAGTTTGCAGAAATTTCTACTCAAACACAACCAGCATGGAAAATACCAACAAGAGCTCCTGTAGCTTTGCCACACTTGAAGGAAATATTCAGAATGGTCACTATTAGGTTTCAATACATGTTCTCCTCAAGTTATTAATTTCTTAGTGTTTTGCCTGATAAAAATCTATGGCTTCAAGAAAACCTTAAAGTTAGGCTTACACACTGATCCTAGAAAAGCCTCATAGCTTCTGTGTATACCATTAACTTTTGATTCAGTTCACAGTGATTTTAAGTGCTTTTAGGTAACTGCAGTCTGCTGACACACCTGAAGGCTGTGCAGCCATTCAGCAAGATCTAGACAGACTGGAGAGCTGGGCAAAGACGTTCAACAAGATTGATGTTCAACAAGAGTAAGTTTAGAGTCCTGCACCTGGGGAGAAAAAACACCATGCACTAGTACAGATTAGGGGTTGACCTGCTAGAAAGCAGCCCCATGGAGAAGAACCTTGGGATCTTGGTTGACAAGAAGTTATCCATGGGACAGCAATGTGTCCTTGTGGCCAAGAGAGCCAAGGGTATCCAGGGATGCATTAAGAACAGTGTGACCAGGTCAAGGGAGGTTCTCCTCCCATTCTACTCTGCCCTAGTAAGACCACGTAGAATCATAGAACTATTCAGGTTAGAAAAGACCCTTGGGATCGCCAAGTCCAACCATCATCCCTACTCTACAAAGTTCTCTCCTAAACCATATCCACCAACACCACATCCAAATGACCCCTAAACACATCCAGGGATGGTGACTCAACCACCTCCCTGGGCAGCCTATTCCAGTCTCTGACCACTCTTTCTGTGAAAAAAAAAATTCTTAATGTCCAGTCTAAGAGTACATCTGCAGTACTGTGTCCAGTTCTGGGCTCCCCAGTTCAAAAGGGACAGGGTTATGCTGGGAAGAGTCCACTGGAGGGCTACAAGGATGATAAAGGAACTGGAACATCTGTCATACGAGGAAAGGCTAAGAGACCTGGGGCTGAGAGGGGACCTCATTAATGTCTATAAATATCTGAAGGGTGGATGTCAAGAATGGGCCAGTCTCTTTTCAGTGGTGCTCTGTGATAGGACAAGGGGAAATGGCACCAAGCTGCAGCACAGGAAGTTCCACCTCAACATGAGGAAAAATTTCTTTATTGTAAAGCTGGATCACTGGAACAGGCTGCCCAGAGAGGTTGTGGAGGTCTCCCTCTCTGGAGACTTTCAAGACCCATCCAAATGTATTTCTGTGTGATCTGCCCTAGGTGTTCCTGCTGCAGCAAGGGGTTTGGACTCAATAATCTTCAGATGTCCCTTACAAACCCTATGATTCTATGGTTAACTACTGACAGACTTTAAATAAGTGAATGCCTGCATGTGCCACTTTCTTCTTACCAGTATTACATTCTATATAATTTTGTCATACCTCCAAACTAGAAGAATGCATTGCTAGTAAAGCAACAACAAATAAAAGCCACATCAAAACAAAGGATATGTGCAGAAATATACTTTATACTTTATTTAAAAAAAAATACTTAAATTTCCTTTCTACAAAATATTTTCCAGATCTTTTTTCCACTAAGGAAGGCAACCCAAGCTTGCATGTGTCCAAACTCACCACAATATTCTCTTGAGAGGGAAACTTCTTTTTCTTTGACTTCTTTGTGTCAGTTAGGCCAGCATGACGTCTGAAGATCTCCTCAAAGTAGACTTTGGTTTTTGCCTTTGCCTCACTTTCAACTGCAAAAAGAAATCTAGAGTATGATTCATTAGCTCAGTAATCACCATTGCTAATAAAGTGCACAATCGTGCTTTAAAATCTCAAAAGATAAGAACTATTTTATCAGGGAAAGTTTACCAAGAAATATTCTTGGTATTCAGTTAAGAATTTCCACTGACAAGATGAACCACACCAGGATAACTTAGCACTATTGTACAAGCACACCAGGCTATTCCTGGTTGCTGAAGCTGGCACCGTCTACTCAGTTTCCTGCACAAAGCACTTTTTGAAGGGCACACACTGCACTTGGGCTTGCCTAGGTCGAGGAGAGATTACTGCCCAACACATGGATAACAACAGATGGGCCACACTGTCTCCAGGAGAAGCAACTGCTTGAGGTTCTTACTGAGTCTGGAACCCAGAGGGACATCACCCTGAGCCAGACCAACAGGAGGCAGGAGTATGCCTAGGTCTGAAAGGATCTAGAGCTGAGAGTCCCTGCATTTCTGTGATCATGATACTGCCATCAGCAGCATTTCAACCCTTGCAGCAGGTGTTCTAGCTCCCCTGAGGTAGTTCATAATTTGTAGCTACAGAATTAAAAATGCAATCTGGCACACCACTGAAAAAGGCTGTTGAATCCTCAGCTACAGCATATTTACTATTGTAATTGCTATTTTTACAGAAGTCCCCAAATTGAAAATGAAAAAAACCCAACACTTTGAAAATCAGCTATAAACAAGGACTCAAAGCAAAACCAACACAGCATTAAACATTTATAGACAGAAGTAACTCCAACCATTTTCATCTAGTTCTGACTATAAAATACGTATTGGAAATCAAACACAATGTATTCTTACCTGCTGGCATTTTCAGTCCTGAGTTAGAAGTAGCTTAACACACCAGCTGCTTCTTCCTCAGAATTCACCATCCTATTTAAACGAATGTAAAACTTTCATTAACATAACTGGTCCATAGACTTGAAGCTAACAATTTAATGTATTCTAATTAATATTAAGAATGAGTACAGGTCTTTCAGGGCAATATTTATTTCTAGGCTATTTGTCTGAATTATTACAAGCCCCTTGCCATCAAATCTCAGCTCAGAATTCTTAGTGACAATCTGATACTTGTTATTTGACAGTAAATTAAAAAAACCCAACAAAACAAAAAAACTACAGCATTTATATTAGCTAAATATTTCTGGGCAGTAGCCAAATATTTCAGGTCTGTAATCCCACAATCTTCTAGAAAACCCTACAGTTCATTTAAATAATAATGACCCATGAAGCCATTTGTATTGAGGCCTTTCTAATCACATTTCTATTCTGACATCATAAAGGAAGTTGCCTTGTAGCCAGCTGTGAGCTTTCAAGGCTTCATATCAAGATTAGTATCTGCCAGCAAACTTTATTACAAATCTCTAAATATTTATATTTACATAAAGCATTTGTATTTTACATAAAGCAGACAAGCAATTACATGAAACTCATTTCTCTAAAGAAAAAATGTTAGACCTCCTGGTTGTGAAGAAAAGCCTACAGATACAATCCAAATACAGCTGGAAGGCAAATAAAAATATCACACAGCTTTATCTTTTCATCAACAAAATTCAGAATGTTTTACAAAAACTTTAATACAAAAAGCTGTTTTGTAAACAGTGGAGCTAATAAAACCTAGCTTTCTGTGGATGCCTTATATTCCCCTTAGCACTCCATGCAATAAACCATTGTACATGCCTCCCTGATAGCCAATCAGGCAATTGCTCCAAGTTCTCTCCAGGTAACACCTTCTGTCAGACACCAATAATTGATATTTGCTGGCCACCCAGACCTCATCTAGCATAATAAATTATGACGTAGCATTAAATACTGCCAGGCTATTTGGTTGCATTATCCTTGACAGCATTTTGGTCCAAGTACAGTTCAGGAGTTGGTATGGATTACTGTTAATGGGCAGTTTGCATACAGCAACTCTGGTGAGTGGCTAGAATTTAATAGCATTGAAGTGGGCCAAACATACCTTTTGGCCTCAACATCAAAAATCACTCCTGGGCACACACCTCTTACCAGTATAGGAAAGCGAGGAAGCTACACTTGCATTCCTCCAAACATCTCCACAATCACACCCTCAGATCCCTCTCATCCCTCTTTCACAGCCTGTCCCCCACAGGCTACAAACTCTCAAAAAATCACATTTGGGGAAAAAAATCACATATAAAGGACACAGAGTAAAAACAGGGCCTAGGAAACAGTGAAATCTCAGAATTAGAAAAAAAACAGGTTCCAGTTAGAGAAAAACACTCCCCAGGCAATCAACAGCCCAGCCTTGAGACAGGTCTGCAAGATGCCTGCAGGAGAGATGAAAGGGATGGAAAGTAGTATTCCCCAATGCTTATCTTGCTTACAGCCTTGAGCACTGGTTAAAAAACATTGAGTAATTGAAATCACCGTATTAATATATTAATGAGCTATTAGCATACTAAAATTCACACCCACAGGCCAGAGAGACCCCTGCTAACATGCCCCTTACTCTTTGCACATGAGTATTGAATTTCATGAGTGCTGCCACTTTAAATGGAAGCGAGGGATTAGCTGACTAATCGTGTGCCAGTGATAGAATAACGTTAGAGACAAAGTTCTTTCTCACATTTTTGGGTATAAAAGTAGCACTTGCATTTTGGAAAACCAAGCTGGCTTTGTGGAATACCCTCCTGCTCCCTTTTCTGTGCAGAAGTGGATATTAAAGCAAATATCTTGACTCTGTGTGTGGATTGGCTTCTTGCACACCAAGTGATGGACCCTGCTTTCCTGACAAAAATTTCACGTTTGGTCCTTACAGTAGTCTGGTCTGGTGGCTAGCCAAACCAAATTAAGAAAGAACAAAAGGCAGTGTTAATTGGTTTGGGACTATAGGAGTGCTGATTAGTCAGTTGCCAGGGGTTACTAGTTTATTTCATGTACTAAGCAAAGTATTTATACTAAGTATAGAACAACCTAAGGATGTTTGAAATAAGCAATGTCGACCAACAAGGACTTCACAGGAAGAAAAACAGAATGTTTTGTTCTGTAATATGCTTCATGGTGTCACAGACAAGGTAGCAATATTTTCACTAACTAAAATATATTTTGACTTGTAAAGCAAAGTTTTGCTGTCACAACTAAAACAGTAACAGTTAAAATAACATTTCTTACAAGAAAACAAATATTATTGAAAAATAAATCTAAATAAATCTACTTTTGCAATTTATAGTTAGTTATACCAAAAGGCCATTTAAAAAATACTAGAGTTATTAAGTGCTGTTTTTCAAGTAGTCAATTCACAATTGCTTACAAAATGCTTACGATTTGAAAGAGTATAAAAATACACATAATTATAAAATACAGCAGATTCTATCACTTTAATACATCATTAAGGATTGCAGGAATATGGAAAAATCTCTTTTGATTAGTTCAGTCATTTCAATCACCCCTTAGAAAAACTCATGACAACATCTAAAATGTTCTCAAATTTCAAATGAAAAATATGACAGACAATATAGAAGACAACAGCAAAGTAAGTGAAGTGCATATCTATGGCAGGTATGGAACTAATTTTATAGTCAAAAGTTAAATAAATCACATTTAAAAAAACCCTATAGGTAAAATAATTTTGCAGATACTTTTGCTTAATAAGGGAACAAACACCTTTCCAAAGGCTAGACTCACCTCACGTTTACCGTAGCACTCTGTAAAATGCAGACTTGCCAACTTCACCAGTGAGAACATATTTTTCTATTTACCTCTATTTATTCAGTAAAAGTCTATCCTCTTGTGGCATGAAAATTAAGAGAGAAAAGCCCATTAATGATCGTGCTATTATTTTATAAAAGGTTCCAATTTAGAATTCCATTACCTTTGACATGGTGTATTAAAGCAACTATTAGACTTGTGTAAATATAGATCATTAATCAACAGGGTAAGAACAAGGCTGTTTATTCAGTCTAATCTCATCTTAAAATAGGAGAGACTTAATCGTATATCAAATCTCAGCAACCACAATGCCCCAATCTGAATAAACTTGTTATCATTAAGATTAATAATGAAAAATGCTTTTTTGCTGATCAGATTTGATCTTTTCCATGTTGGCTATTAAAAGGCAATTCAGGATAACAAAAATCCATACTTGGAACAGTGGCACATTACAGCTATCAGGAATAACCAGGAAGACAAAATCACGAAGCCCAGACTTCCAAGAATTACTATATACCTTCCTGAAAACAATCTAATTTGCTCTTCTCTAATATTCCATTTGTATTTATGTCATCCTACATTAAATTCTTGCTCTTGTCACAGTATTTTACAATACCCATTGAGTTGCTATATTCTCCATCCATAATACAGAAATTATCTAACCAAAACATGCCACAAGGCCCAGTATTTATGAAAAATACTTTTATTTACCACTAAAAATAATAATAACCCCCACTAAAATCAAACCTATACTATAATGGAGCAGAACATACAGAACCTGTATCACACAATAGGACGCTAACAAATTTCATATCTAATTAGGATAATTTAGGAAGCTGAGTTGGCAAAACATAATTGCACACTTGAAGATTTTTCATTAACTAAACTCCTCATTTTTCCGGTATCACAAAAAGTGAATGGAATTTTCAGTGGCTAAAAACAAGTAGAATATCAGGCTTTTTAATATGTTTTAGATACCAGTTACCATAGTGAGAAATCCTGGGTTTACTAGTAGGTTTCTACTTCAGCTACCTATAGGTATCACTGTTTCAAGATCTGAGAATACTTTAACTCAGAACTATACAGAAAATAGCACTGAGTCTCATCTATTCCTCTTCACATCAAAAACATTCTGGTTTTATTCATGACAATTCAGTATGTAAGTCCAGAAAACTGACAGACAACTTTATTGTTACCTTGTAAATTTCTATGTACTTGCATATATCAAACAGAAACTACTAAAAGTGCAGTACCTTTCTACCAGTTCAGACGTCCCTTTAAAAAACTTGTGTTTACACTAATTTAAAAGGATGTTTACAAAAGTTGGTGCTACCCATCTGAGCTTTCTAATTGTAATGTATCAGAAGGCTTTTGCTTCACAGTAAACATCGTTTTTTCCTAGAAGATTTGGTTGGTCAGGAGAAGGTTGAACACAGCCTGTCCAGATGGCAAAACTCA